TGATTAAAGATGACTGCGGTTTATGGAACTACAGAAATGAGAAGAGGAAATTCAGGTGGCTGGTGCGGGAGATGGAAATCAGGATGAGTTGGGTTAAGAGATCAGCTAACTCTTTAGCTGATGGATTAGCTAAACAAGGGATAGAAAGGGAGGCAATATTTTGGGCTAAGCTGTAACTTAATTGTTTCTTTTACTCTTTTTCTCTCTTTGGAGGGTTTAAATTGTTTTCGGAAGATAAGAGTTCTTGTCTTCCTTGCTGTAAATATTTTGGTATTTCAATGAATTGAATGAATCTGTTATTCATCAATATATATATATATATATATATATATATATATATACAAAAAATGTCAACAAAAGATAGGTCCAGCTTGCAAAAAAGAGAAAAGCTGGGCACCCCTGAATGTCTTTTGTACACTTAAACAAGAATACAAAGTACCTACAACCTTTCTTTTTACTGAAACCATATCAGAAAAATTGTTGTAAAAAAATCGGCTATTCCTTACCTTCCAGATGGCCCATTGGATGGAAGATGGGAAGATCCTCCAAAGCAATTTGCCCTTAGTGTTCAGTGCTCTTGAGGGACCACCGTTGCAGAAGTTGAAGATCTGATTCAGATAAGCAAGACTGAACCCCAAAACAGGAGAAAGCCATTTCTCACAGATGGGAAGAAAAACTGCAATGAAGGAAAAGATGGATGGAGGATTCAGGAGTTCCATTGCACAGGGGCATAGGATGTTCGAAAGAAGCATCCCCCTTCTAAGCAGCCGATCAGTGGTTAGACATTTACCCAACACTGCAGTCCAAACCAGGAAGGAAACCTTGGAAGGAGCATGGGAATTCCAGATCAAGGCCCAAGGGAAATCATTGTCCTCACACGACATCAGTCTGTTGTAGAAGGACTGAGAGGAAAACTTGCCTGTGGAGCTCCATGACCAGATTCTTTTATCTTCAGATAGAGGATTAGGCTGGGTGCTTAGAACTAGACATAACAACTCAGTCAAAGGGCTGATTTCCCAATCATTGGGATTTCTTCGAAAGGTGGGACCCCAAACAACCTCCCCATTCAGAGTCAAAGCAGTTTTCAACACAGCATCTTTATCAAGTGCAATCTCAACAGAAGGAAATCTTTAGACACTTCATCGACAAAGTCAAAAACTCTCCCTGTATTTTTGGGATGCATCCAGGAGTCTCCTGTCAGAGATGGTCAATAATGGAGAACATGAAGTTTTAACTTTTAATATACCCAAGACACCCTTGAGTAATTTCTGTTTGGTCTCTATTTAGTCCACCCCTCCTAAGACTTCAGATAGCTGGGACCAACATTGGGTAATGACCTTATTAGAAATTCCAAAATGCCATTAAGGTTTGATAAAGGAATCTGTCAACAATCCATGCAATGTAGCAAATAACTATACACTATTAATGCACACCTCCCTCAGGGGTATTGGTCATTGTAAGCAAGACCAAAATGTATCTGAAGTGAAATGCATATGGTCTAGACATGCACAGTGGCCAATGCCATTATTAGGCTTGAATAGTTTTGACACAAATGCAATCCATTGAAATAAGGTGTATCACTACTATGAGAAAATTGTAAATTCCACTTGTCTCGAAGTGAACTCAAGCATTTATGGAGGTAGGTAGAAGCCGCTTCTGTTCCTTTTTGAATCTTGTTCAAGAAAGCACAATTTGAGCTATTTTCTGGTACAACCTTGACCCAGCCTTATGCCCAACATCCCCAACCCTTTTTTTCCAAGGAACCTTGACAAAACAAAGTAGAAAGAGGATCATTTGGTTAAGTGGGAAGTAGTGTTAGAAGCAAAAATCAAGGAGGGTTGGTATAGGGAATGTATGAAAGAAGAGCATGGCCTTATTAGGAAAATGGTTGTGGTTGCCGAGACTACCTGAGAGGGACAAGTTATAGCACAAATGGTGGTTAGCATTCATTGGCTGATGGACAATCGATGGGTTGCTGTCTTATCTGCTAGAGCTATATGAGCCTCTCCTTACTTAGAAGACAAGTCATAGTATCCTACTGGTCTTCCTCAATTGTATCAAATATGATATTTGATCTAGTAATATTATCAGCTTTTGGGAACATGCTTGGGCAGGGGAATGTCCTTCAAAAGATCAATTTCCCACCTTATTCTCACTATCCAGTATCCACTYTCAAAGGGACCTACTTCTAAGTTTGCTGTCCCTCTTCTTCACTCAATGGCTTTGATTGGAAATTGGAATTTAGGCTTTAAAAGGGGTATTAGGGATTTAGAACTTCCTAGTGTATTTAGTCTTCTACATGTTCTAGAAGGAGAGTTCCTAGATCCTCTTCAGTTTAATGGTCGTATTTGGACTTCTAATCCCTTGGGTTCCTTTTCATGCGCTTCTTTCTTCAAGGTCCTATCTTCTCCCCCCTTCCTTTTGTGGCCATTCCCTGTGAAAGAGGTTTGGAGCTGGCCAATCCTTCTTAAAATTGGTGCATTTTGTTGGGAGGTTTTCCATGAGAAAATTAATACTTTTGATTTGATACAGAAGAGGAGGCCTAATTATAGCTTATTCCTTAATTGGTGTATTCTTTGCAAAGCTAATGGTGGGACTTGCTAATCTTTTGTCCATTTGTATTTGGAAATGGTTTTTTTCTTCATTTGGGTGTAAGTGGACGCTTACATCAAGCATGACTAGCTTGTTCTATCATCAACCTTTGTTTGGTGAAAGAAAATGGGAAGAATCATGTGGAGATGCACTAGGGTAGCACTCATTTGGACAATTTAGGAAGAGGGGAATGCAAGAATCTTTAGGCTATGTTTGGTTTGAATGAAGGGAAAGGAAGAGAAAGATAGGAAAACCTGTGCAAACCTTGTATAGGTTTATCTACCTTTCCTTTCCTTTCTCTACCTTTTCTTTCAAACCAAACAGAGCATTAAGGAACTGGAGAGAAGGAAGCAATAATTGAATGCATTATAGTTAGGGTGGCCATGGCTCATTGGATCAAATCATTGGAAGCCTTTTCTTTCAATAGATGATATAATTGGAAAGTGGAATTTGTAGGAACATCTTCAGGAAAAATTGTCTCACAACAATTGGGTGCCACTGGAAAGGAGATTCATAAGGCTTAACTTCAATGACAGCAGTATGGGGAACTGAGGCCTGAGGGCCTTCAGGGGTGGGAGGTTTTCTTAGGAATGAAGAGGGTCATGCTGTTATGTTTTCGGGCCTGATTTTTTTTTATCAGTAAACATGTATTTTATTAAATTTCAGATTGTAAACAGTTTATACAACTTGGTGATGGGACTGTTGATCCCTTCAATCACTGTATTTTATCCCTCATTACAGTGCAGCCCAAAATAGTTGCTGTCTCAATGCCCCTTGTTTTGCTAAAGCATCAGCTAGCCCATTTGCACTTCTTCGGACCCATTTAAATTCAGTCTCAACCTCCTTTGCAATCTTTTCCACTTCCTTAATCACTTGTTTAAACGTCCACGGGGTATGGCTACTGTTTGCTGCCCAGGAAATTACTACTTTTGAGTCCCTTCCACCTCAATATGCCTGTATCCTAACTGTTTGGTTAACTTTAACCCTTGCAGTAATGCCAAAAGTTCAGCCTTCAGTGAGTTTCCGGTGTCAATCGGTCCTGAAAACAGACCCAATATCCTCCTTTCAGAATTTCTGAATACTCCTACTCCTGAAATGCCCGGATTTCCAAAGGAGCTCCCATCAAAATTTCAGGCCTGATTTGTTAGGATATTCTCTAAGGGTAGAGATGATGGCTGTTTTGGAGGGTGTGCAGCGGGCAAGATACATGAAGCTGAGTGGATAAATCATTAAAGGTGACCATGGTTCAAGTATTGATATGTAGTGGTTTTTGAGATAGGTGATATGCTATATAAAAGAATTAGTGACATCTGTTACTTTTAAATAATAATAACAGGTATGTGTTAACCATGACAAAAGGGGTGTGGAGTGAAAATAATGGGTAGAGAATTGGTATCTTTAATGGCTTGAAACTGAAATTTTCAGTACTGAGCGTATTGATTCTTTGAACCATGAAGGTGGTTCAAAGGTTGTGATAGGGTGGTTGTTGAATAACAAGACATCTATGTGGACCTATAAAAATGATATCAAGAATTGTATCGCTGACTAACAACACTCAAGTAAAAATCCAATGGGCACAAGTTCTGCTGACTACATAGCAGATGCATTAGCAAAACAAGGGGTGGTTAGGAATCAATTATTTCAGGCTCAAGTGTAAGGCAAATGTAAGGGGAGAGGTAGAAGTGACTATCCTCCATAAAGGGTGTATGTAAACTTTGTACATTACTACATTGTACTGTTCACAATTTGTTCAGTTGGAGGAAAACTGACTTTTGGGCTAGAGAATTTGGATATGGATCGAATGCCTTCTCCATTAACTTCTTGACTGTTGGTTAAATACAAGGAACCCATGGAGAACATGATTAATTAACTTAAAACTCCTACCTTTCTCAACTACTATATGATTCAATACAAGAAACCTATGAAAAAAGAATATATATATATATATATATATATATATATATATATATTCTAAAACCCAGATAAGATTCTTGAAATTAAAAAAATTTCTGAAAACCCATGTAGTTAATTTTAAAAAGAGCGACTTGAAAATTTCCATTTTCCTATTTAGTTAAGATACTACAGAGAAACTACTGAAACCCATTTTAGATTTTGACTGGAACATGAGTGGGGTGAGGAGATGTAGACAAGGATGTTTTGGAAGAAGAAATAAGGATTTGATTTCTGATTATTCATCTTTTCCTTTTCTCCTTCATTGTCCTTGTCCTCTTCTGAAGGGAGTCGCTTCTTGCCTGGATTGCATGCTTAGCCCTTGACTTGACAAGATCAAAGAATGTGGCATGGGAAAAAACATTTGCACATCCTTTTTTGCATCTGTTTGTTCGTAACTATGATTTGCATCCTAATTGATACAGAAATTTGCCCTCATTTGTCTTATTTGCACTCACTGGCTGTGCAAATATAGCATGCAAGAAACTGATGCAAAATTTGCACCACCTTTCTCCTACCTCAGTTCTGTCTCACATAAAGCGGGGACCACATCATCTTGCTTCCTACATCACTCCCACAAATAATTCTCCTACCTCCATTCTCTTTCATATAAACTATGAATTGGGGACTGCTTAATTTTACTTTTCACAAACAAATAAGATGGTCAAATCTGAAGCAAAAGCAAATCAGAACTTATTCTCTACCTGTTTGCACTCCCATACATTTAAACCATTGCAAATGAGATTCATACTGAATGGACTTAAGCATCTAGAATGAAATTCACACTCCCATACATTTACACCATAATTTAACGCATCTAGAGTGGACTTAGTTATGTAGTAAAACTTCAATTCATTAGTAACCCCCTGGTTCCTTCGCTCCATGTAAACCCTAAACAACCTGCAACATAGTCAATTTTAACCTACCACCTATGAGCTGTGATGATTTTGTTCTGTATATTTCTTTCATAGGGAGATTCTTGGTATTTGGAACATCTTGTAATATATAAAATATGATGTAATATTACATAAGAAATCCCTTGTAGGAGTTCCATGCTCGTTGAAGGTATTCCTGCTTGAACTCCTCCCTATCTATGGGGTTTAAGAGTGTTTCTATGTGCTTGATTAACATAGATTAGAATTTTGGATTTAATTCAACTCAGTATTAGAAAGATCCAGATGGATTTGGGACAATTAACTTAACACTTTCCACTGTAAATCATAGTTCAACTGATGTTTTATTTTGCTTCATGATTTGGTCTCTATCTATGGAACGTTTTTTCCTCACTTATATGGACATCCACTGTATGACTAGTGAGCAATTGATTCAATTGTGATATTTTTTGTTAAGTAATCGTGCCCCTGTTTTATTTATTATTTTTGTTCCCCTTCCTTTTCCAGATTCTGCAAAGCCAGCTGCAGCTTTTACGACAACAGAAACCAGGGGAAACCATGAAAATGAGTTCCACTGCTTCAGATAGTAAGGGTAAGACCAGTGCATCTCCATCCTCATCTTCGTCCATTTCAGACTGTGGCTGTCATGGTGAGGTTGAAGAGGTGGAGAAACAATGAAGTACTAACTTTCATGCTAATTGCAACTTGCAAAATATAATGCAATGGATATAGAAAATGCAGGGCTCCCTCTTTTTTTTTTTCTTGTTTTGTTTTTAGTTTTGCCTTATGTTTTTCTTTATATTGTTCAAATCAGTTTTGTTTGATAAACTATACTATTGTAGGTAACCCCTTTATTAAATGACTGTAAGTGTACATGCCTTCAGAGTTTCAGATTTGCTGGTTGTTATTACTGCCAGTAGTGTTCTTACAGGCTAACCATCAGATAAAGTTAATCTGACAAACCTTGATGTCTTGTGTTTGGTCTACTGTCCACACAGATGCTCTCTCATGTTGTGTTTAATGTTAACTACTTTTTTTCCTTTTGATCAAGTGTTGTAAGTTGGTACAAGAACAATTGGAGATGATATGTTCATCAATTACAAGGTAGCAAATACGCTTTTTTTTTTCTCGTTCCTTCCAGTAATTTGACCCACTCGAATAATCTTCAACAGAAAAGCATTTGGCAATTGTTTGTTGATGATAAATTAAGCTTCTAGCTGCAGAATAGGACTAGTAGTAGGGGGTTTTAAAATCGGTAAGCTTGGACATGGATACATATCATATCATATGCCTTTGAATATATATACATGTTACGATACACATGGATACAGTGGAAAATTATGGATATATCATATACTTTGGAAACATTGGATATGGATATATATTACGATATACTTTAAATATACATGGAGTCCGTGGAAAACCATTGACACTCTTTGATGCATTGGACTATTGGAGGGATTTTTACAAATCTCGCAAATATATTAATAAATATAATGATGAATAAGGTGCGAAGACATAAGAAATACACACTTCAATGGTTTTTGAAGAAATATATTAAAATCAACAATAGCATCATCTAAAACATGTAGATATCTGACTTCAAAAAAATAAAATAAAAAACAGGTAGATATCTTACAACTTTATTAATAATGCATCAAACAATGTTTGAGTTTCCAATCTGCTAAAAATTCATTTCAAGACACATTGAATTGTTGTTAGGTCAATGAGCTTGGTTGATCATTGATAAATCCATCATATAATGCTTTTTACCAAGATTCAAATGTATCAAATATTTTTTTTTTTAATTTTCCGATATTTCCTAAAAATTAAGAAAAAAAACATAAATTATTGTTATATCAACGAGTTTAATAGGTCATTGATCAAATTCACTCTTGTATTTACATAGATGCAATTGTGACCCATTTCATTTGCATTCTTCCTTTAAAACCTATTTATATTGAATTCTTTATATCAACGAGTTTAATAGGTCATTGATCAAATTCACTCTTGTATTTACATAGATGCAATTGTGACCCATTTCATTTGCATTCTTCCTTTAAAACCTATTTATATTGAATTCTTTACATTATAGTTAGCACCAATACTCTCAATACGAAAAAAAGTACATATTGAGCTTTGATAAGATGCAACTCTGTTTTTTTTTTTTTTTTTGCCTATTTGTCAGGGATTATCTTGTAGTTGTAACCTCTTTTATTGGTTAAGGCCAATGAAATAGCTCAACTCCAAGGTGTATGGGAGAGGTCAAAAACTGATATATCATATGATACACATCGCTAAACTATTTTAAACCTAGCTTTACATATGAGTTTTTTTTTTTTTTTTTGGACTTTGACAAGGGGGAAGTTGGTTAATAGGATTTTGGTTCCTATTGATCAAGATACACATGTTCTTTTTTTTTTCAGATTTATGTAGGGTCTATGGAAAATTTATTTTTCATGGGCAAGTGATACCAAAGATTAAAGTATCGGCATCGGATATCGTATTGGACAACTTGAATATGGGTATGTTCTGGAAATGCATGGATATAGACGAAAAATATGAAAAAGCTTGGATATGCTAAGGAAATACATATAAATTTCATAAATACATTAATAATACTAAATTTAAAGTTAAATAGTAATGCTCACAAATAATGTATAAATACATAGAAAATGTATATGACAAAATATATTAAAATTAATATAATAGGATGCATAGATATCATACAAATTTATTTATAATGCATCAATGAAGATTTCAAAACACAAAACATATGCACCTATATATTTTAATTATTATATCAATTATTTTTTATTTTTCTATTTTATTTTTGTACATTAACGAAAGAGTCAGCCAAATATTAAATTATCTAATGTTACTTAAAATATATCAAAAGATACACAAATGTAGATTGTTAGGTTTGATACATATCATATGCAAATTCATCATTTTTAATTACTAAAATTATTATTCCATTATAATATTTTTATTTCTATAAATTTTTTAAAATAAGAAATCATTTTTTGATATAAATGTGGATTGTTAGGTTTGATAGATTCAATTTAATATTATATTCTTGAATATTTTGTAAATAATAAATATATTATTTAATGTAAATTAAAATATTAACTATTAATTTAATATATAATTTGTAAGATACACACCATGTACAAATTTGTAAATTTTAAGTACTAAAATAATTATTCTTTTATTAATATTTTATTTGTATAAATTTCTTGAGATTCAAATAATCTTTTGAGATAAATGTAGATTTGATAAATTATTTATTCTATTATTTTATAAAATACTAATTTTGAATATTATTCTTTTTAATTTTTAGGTGGAGTTGTAAAACATAAATATGTATTGTTTATTAGGATTTCATTTAGAGAATGAAATTAATAAAAGTTATTTTATTTCATTTCTTATTCCAAGTAACTAAGTGGCTTAGTTGGTTTAAGAGTTTAAGTTGTAAACTAAGTATGCTAATTGATTTGGGTTTGAATCACCTTATTATTTTTAATAGAAATCTGCATGGGTGCATAAGGCGTATCATTGTGTATTGGTGTGTAGATACAGACCGAAATGCACTTGTATTAGCCGGATATGCAACAGGATATGCCTCGACGTAGGGTATCCCATACAGGTTATTATCGATACCGATACCATATGCCTTGTATTTGGATCGATATTTTGATTTAACGTACAAATTGCTAACTTTCATTGACATTTTTGAATGTTGCTAAAACCTCCCCTGAAGTTTGATAATTGCAATCACCTTTCTTGAACTTTTTGACACAGTTGCAAGTAGACCCCCTTTGTTAGAATCCTATAGAAAAAGACAAAAAAATGTCAAAATATCCATGCAATTACTATTGAGGCTGATTTCTACATAAAAAAAAAACAATACAAACTTTATAAACAACAAAAGAAAGAGAATTTAAAGTTGCAGTTTTACCTTTGAATGGTTGATATGAAGGACAAATTTGGAAAGTAAATCTATTTCAGAAAAAGAGATTGGAAGGGCTTGGGCTAGCTAATCATATGGGGAGAACATTTAGAATGTTGCTGAAACCTCCCTAAAGTTTGATAATTGCAATCACCTCCCTTGAACTTTTTGACATAGTTGCAATTAGTTTCATGCCTCTTCTTTTCAAGGGATTTTAATAAAGGGGATCTACTTATAACTATGTTAGAAAGTTTAGGGGAGGTGATTGTGATTACCAAACTTTAGGGGAGGTTTCAACAATTTACCTCAACAAATATTTAAATTGCATTATAGTCTAACTCTTTTTATATCAACATGATAATATTAGTTATCTTTCAAACTTTAAAACATATAAAAAATTAAAACTTTCTATTTTTTTTACCATTTTTTAAAATCCTAATTGTTCATATATTATAATTTATAGTTTATCTAAATTATTTGGATATTTCTTCATTTTCTTAAAAAGTAAATGCGAATATAATATGCTATGCATCAGTGTACTGGCTAAGGTGCTATGATGTCGGAAAGACATCATACAAGAAAAAAGTAAATACGAATGCAATCAACTTTCTAATTATTTCTTTTTTTTTTTCTCAAACCAAATAACCTAAAGGGGAAATAAATAAGAGGTTGAACTAGGACTGGAAAATTTGACCCCAACCCACTTGATCCACCCAAACCACCCACTCATACCCATCCAATTCAATAGTGGATCAAGATGGGTCAAATGACCCATAAGGGTCAGGGTCGATTGGGTCAAGGGCCTTGACCCTCTCTTTAGTAAAATTAGGTTATTCTCCCGAAATTCTCTCTCTCTCTCATTTCACCGATCATCTCTCTCATTTCTCCGATCAACTATCTCTGTCTCTCACTCAAATCTTTCGGTTATCGTAGTGTCTCTTTTCTCTCTCTCTCTCTCGCTTCGCTCAGATCTATCGTAGGCAGATGCCGCACCGCCCCTTTCTCGTTCAGATCGCCGCAGCACCACCACTCTCCCTCTCTCTCGCTTCATTTTCAGATCATCGGTAGGTGGATGCCGCACCACCCCTCTGTCGCACTCGGATCTACCGTAGGTGGATGCCGCGCCGCCCCTTTCTCGCTCAAATCGTCGTAGCACCACCACTCTCCCTCTCTCTCGCTTCATTTTCAGATCTTCGGTAGGTGGATGCCGCACCACTCCTCTGTCGCACTCAGATCTTGAAGCTCGCCGCCACACCACCACCCTCTCTTGCTGACTCAGATCTACCTTTGAAGGTTGTCGTCGCACCACCACTCTCACTCTCTTGCTGACTTAGATCTCCGGTTCGAAGATTTGAAAGAATGAAGAGTCGAAGACTATCATCAGAAATTTCAACGATTTTTTGTGTTTTGAAATATTTGTAATGTCTTGTAAATACTTGCAACTTGAAATGTAAATCCCATCAAGGTGCTACAAATTTATGCGAAAATATTTTTGTAAATTTTTATCTCTAAAATATTTTTTGAAAATTTGCTTCAATATTCGATGGATGCATTGTCCATTTTTGCTTGATTTTTTTTGAAAAATTTTATCATTTTATTAGTTTGTCTACAATTTTTTACTTTTCTTCTATAATATATAATTTTTGAATTTTATCATTTTATGTATTTTTGCAATTTCTGCTTTTATCCCATCTTTATATTTATCTAATTTTTAGTCTTTTTTTAGTGTTTTGCTATCATTTCCATTGTTTTTATAATTCATTTTTTTTGCATTTTCTATTTTCTACAATCTATACATTTTCTGTAATTTTTGTTATTTATTTGCAGTTTCTTTGTTTTTCTATAATTTTTGTTGTTTTCTATAATTTTATTTTCTGATTTTTTTTTTTATTTTATGCAATTTCTGCAGTTTATATAATTTAATTTTTTTTTTGTTTTTGAGATTTTCGTTATGTTTGCAATTCTATAATTTTCGATTCTTTTGCAATTTCTTTGTATTTATATATTTTATATATGGAAATATTTTTGAACTTGTTTTCCTTTTTCATGTTTTTTAGTTAAAAACACATGTGTATATTTTAATTTTTTCTGTAATTCTATTCACATTTTTGCATTTTTTGAATTTTCTTACAACTTTCTCATATTTTTCTGCAATTTTCAATGTTTTTTACATGGAATATTTTTTACATTTTTTGTATTTTTATAAATTTTTATTTTTTTATTTATTTGAAAAAAAATGAATTTTTTTATTTTTTATGCAATTAACACAGATAAAAATTAAAAGGTTAAAGTTTTGCTTTGAATTAGTGGGTCAAATGGATGGGTTAGAGTGGTGGGTAAGGATGGGAGTGGGTTGTGACCCACTAATATGAGTGGGAAATGGATTAATGGGTCAATATGGGTGATTGATACTCAACGCTCACCCAATCCAACCCAACCCAACCCAACCCAATCCACCCTTTGCCACCCCGAACTAATAACTTATTACTTTGTCTCTTTTAATGAATAACTAAATTAAATAGTAAAATATCTGAAGGTATCACAATTCACAAAGAATCCAACTTCAGCTTTAACCATTAAAAAACGAGTTCACAACCTTCTTAAATTCTTAATAACTATAAGATACAAGGACAAAATAATAGCTAATAAGTCATTCACCAGAGCCATTTCAGCAGTTATGAAGTTGCCCCTATATGTGGACCAAAGAAGGCTCCATTCAAATGGGCTGACATGGATGGGGTAGTGAATACGTGGCAAATTCACAAAGTCTCCTATTTGAGAATGCTCTCTGGATTTGCCACATCATCCCTCTCTCCACAGCCAAAGACAATGGGAGGTGGGTCGTCTAAAAGAAAAGCCTAGGTGAACCGTCTGGCCGTCTCAGAAACCTGGCAAATGTCATTGACAGTTCACTCAAAGGACCATCATTTTGTTCCTGGTCCCTTGAATCTCAGTCCACCATCTAGAAAGTAGAAACCCAACTAGAAACGTTCCCCAGATTCCAATCCTAAGGTACGTATTTGGTGCTTCAGAAGCTGGAAAAGGCTCCTATATCGCGGTCACCAACTCTTCTTATCTCTCTCGTTTCTATCCACACTCGGACATCGCAGAGACCGACCACTCGGTCACTCCTCGCTCCTCTCCTTCCAGTCGTCTCCAGCTTCTGCTCTCGCTCAGTTGCTTCTCCTTTTCGAAGACTTCGGACTTGTAACCGTCAAAGGGAGTGAAGGAAGGAGTTTTGGAAGTTCGATACAGACTTAAGACTCGGGAGCTTTCTGTAAGCATCAAGAGTGAGGGTGACGATGTTTCTCCTTCAACCTTCTGCTCCTCGCCCCTGGTATGCGTAACCCATAACCTCTCTTTGAACAAAACGCAAATGGGTTGTTTATTTTCTGCAGAATTTGACTAGTTTTGCAGAGTTTCTACAACTCTGCTCCCATAATGAAGATTTAATCATCTAAAGAGTTTGTGAGAATCCTGTTAGAGCCCTATTAGAAATCTAAACTTGTAAAACAAAGGGATTATTGTAGTGGGGGATCTCAATTTGTCTGGCATTTGGGAAATGTAATTGGGAGAATAGCAACTGCCAAAGCTTGAGTTTTTTCTTCTATGAAAATTCTTCCCTTCTCAGCGGTGTAAATAAATGGGGTATTTTTCTCAGTTCAGAACTTCAGATGGTCGTAAAGTAATGCACTTAGTTTATTAGAACATTTTGTGCATTGAGTTGGACAATACAAATACCAATGATGTACTGGAGGATTATGGGTTTTGAAAATGATCTCTTCGCTTGTCCCAGGAAACACCAAAGCTTCTTTAGCAGTCTTTTAATTAGCTAACAACTTAAGGTAGACTAGGCATTCTATAATCCTTAGTTCTGCGGATGACTGATATTTCCTCAACTCCCTAAGTTGAATTTAAATAATAAAACTAAAAATGACTTTGTACAGTTTCATATTGCCTGAGCGAAATGGCTTTTTGATGTGGGAAGTTGGGAAAAACTTGAATTTTCAAATTTGTCTCGTTTCCTTCTTTGATCAATAACATAAGGGGTTTGTTGATCAAAGAGCTAAAGGGGACAATGCTGGAACTGGAAGGAAGGCTCCATGCAAAAGGGGACCCCAGTGCAACTCAGCTGTCTCTAGCAACTCCTGGCAAGGTTATCTGCAAACGAGTTAGCATTCTAGGAATCCATTAGAATGAGATGCTCACTCTGTATCCAATTCTCTTGTCTACCTGCCATGGTTGTTGAGCATTCAAGCTCCAGGAGCCTCACAGATACATCTCTCATCAAACCAACTATCATCTCAGAGTCTGCCTCCACCAGTCCACCTCTATATGCTTGAATCCCACCAAATACATCAAACATAGATGATGAAGAGGTGCTAAGACCTTTTGTCTAATCATAAGCCATGCATAAATGGACTAACATAATATTTGCCTAGCCTCTGAACTCATCTAATGCCCAAGGGGCTGGGTTTCTGTAATCATTCATGGAGAGAGAGAGACGAGAGAGCGAAAGAGAAGAAGAGGAAGATATGATTGAGAGAAAAAGAAAAACTTCTTCTGGCTGCCGCCAGTTCATTATTTATATTAACTTAATATAAAAAGAATGGAAATTACAAGTATGCCTCTGGCAGCACTCCCTAGAAACAAACTAATAAGAAAGAAAGAAAATAACTAACTGACAACATCTTAAGAGGACAACCCACTAACAACAACTATAAAATAACAATTAAATAATCCTCACAACACTCTCCCTCAAGTTGGGCTGAATATGTCTATCATGCCCAGCTTGTCACATAACTCATTGTGCCGCGAGTATGGAAGCCCTTTTGTGAGGACATCAGCGAGTTGTT